ATCAAGCCTAGAAACACAGGCGCTATTCCTAAGAAGGAAAAGAGAATCCTTTGCCATGGTTTGCAATTGACTCAATAAGCAAGTAGAACTCTTTCCATAAACTCAGATTTTCTTTTCCTCTCAATGATTACCTGTTATATTTTATTGGAGAGTCGCAATGGCACGTGGTTCACCTGGAGCCTAACAGCGGCAAAAAATTGAGCCGTTAGGCGTAAAAAGTGACATATTCTAACCGTTAGTCGTAAAGAAAAGGTAACCGTAAAAAACCTTCTGGTCACCATAAAGGAAAATTATTGAAAGTCAGCCGTAAATGGGCCAAAATTGAAACCGTTAGCTGCAAAAGCCATGACCCCATTAAGACCCTCCTATATTAGTAAGGAATTTTTTTCTATGCATCACGTCAATTTCACATCTTGGGCAAAATCATGCAATCTGTTTGATGATAAATCATATGTGTATCAGTAAATGAGGACATCAAAGACCTATTATCAGCAAAGACAAAAATATGGTGAGAAAACCAAAAAAGAAACAAAATGACAAGATTCCCCGCGCCAGGATTTGAACCCTGACCACGGACCGCAACATGGTGCGGTCAAATGCTCTACCCACTGAGCTGCGGGGAACTTGTCAACACTAATGCTGAATTGTAAACTTATGTTTCAGGTGTCCTTTGCGCTGCAAAGATCAGGCCTAGAAACACAGGCGCTATTCCTAAGAGGGAAAAGAGAATCCTTTGCCATGGTTTGCAATTGACTCAATAAACAAGTAGAACTCTTTCTATAAACTCAGATTTTCTTTTTCTCTGAATGAGAACCTGTTATATTTTATTGGAGAGTCACAATGTTACGTGGTTAGACAAGAGCCTTAAAACGGCCAAAGTAAAAAGTGAAATATTTTAACCGTTAGTCGTAAAGAAAAGGTAACCATAAAAAACCTTCTGGTCACCATAAAGGGAAATCATTGAACGTCAGCCGTAAATTGGCCAAAATTGAAACCGTTAACTGCAAAAGCCATGACCCCATTGAGACCCTCTTATATGAATAAGAAATTTTTGTTCTATGCAGCATGCAAATTTCACCGCTTGAGCAAAAGCATGCAATCTGCTGGATGATAAGTGATATGTGTATCAGTATATAAGGAGATTAAAGACCTATCATCGGCAAGGACAAAAATGTGATGAGAAAACCAAAAAAAGAAACAAAATGACAAGATTCCCAGCGCCAGGATTTGATCCCTGACCACGGACTGCAACATGGTGCGGTCAGATGCTCTACCTACTGAGCCTCAATTTTCAACTCATGTATTAGGTGTTCTACGCACTGCAAAGATCAAGCCTTAACACATTGGCGCTATATATTCTATAGAGGAAAAAGAATCTCTTCTGCAATGGTTTGTAATTGACTCAATTAGTAAGAAAAACTTCGTACTTCGATTTGCTGTTCCTTTTAAGAAGTATCTATTTTTTGTATACAAGTGCATTACTTCTATTTTGCTTCTTGAGCAAAAGCATACAATCTATTCGATGATAAATGATATGTGTATCAGTATATCAGGACATCAAAGACCTATTATCAGCAAGGAAAAAAATATGATAAAAAAAAACAAAAAAGAAACGAAAAAACAAAATTCTCTGCGCCAGAATTTGACGTTGATAAGTGACACACTTGTCAATATCATAAGCTCAGTCTTAAACTCATGTTTCAAGTTTCCTTTGCACTGCAAAAGAACAAGCCTAACCAAAAAAAGAAACAAAAATGACAAGATTCCCCGCTCCAGGATTTGATCCCGGACCACGGACCGCAACATGGTGCGGTCAGATGCTCTACCCACTGAGCTGCAGGGAACTTGTCAACGTCTAAGGCTCAATATCAAACTTATGTTTTAGGTGTTCTACGTAATGCAAATATCAAGCCGAGAAAAATAAGCGCTATTCCTCAAAAGGAAAAGACTCGCCTTTGCAATATTTTGCAATCGTCTCAGTTGGTAAGAAGTAATTTTGTCCACTTCGACTTGCTGTTGCTCATGTTTTTTTTTAAGAAGCACCTGTCTTCTTTTATTTTCTAAGAAATCTATGTAATAGTGCACTATCCCTATTTTACTTCTTGAAGAAAAGCATACAATCTAATCGATGATAAATGATATATGTATCAGTAACTGAGGACATCAAAGACCTTTTTATAAGCTATTAAAAAAAAGGATGAGAAAACCCGAAAAAGAAATAAAATGACAAGATTCCCCGCGCCAGGATTTGATCCCTGACCACGGACCGCAACATGGTGCGGTCAGATGCTCTACCCACTGAGCTGCGGGGAACTTGTCAACACTATAGACTCAATTCTAAAGTTATGTTTCAGGAGTCCTATGTGCTGCAAATATCAAGCCTAGAAACACAGGCGCTATTCCATAGAAGAAAAAGAATCTCTTCTGCAATGGTTTGCAATTGTCTCAATTAGTAGGAAGAAACTTTGTCCACTTCGATTTGCTGTTCCTTTTAAGAAGTACCTTTCATCTTTTATTTTCTAACAAATTGGTGTACTAATGCATTACTTCTATTTGATTTCTTGAGCAAAAGCGTACAATCTAATCGATGATAAATGATATGTGTATCAGTAAATGAGGACATCAAAGACCTATTATCAGCAAGGATAAAAATATGATGAGAAAACCAAAAAAAAAAACCAAAAATGACAAGGATTTCACACACCGCAACATGGTGTAGTCAGATGCTCTACCCACTGAGCTGCGGAGAACTTGTCAACATCTTAGGCTCAATTATAAATTTATGTTTTAGCTGTTCTACGCACTACAAAGATCAAGCCTAGAAACATAGGTGCTATTCCATAGAAGGAAAATAATCTCTTCTGCAATGGTTTGCAATTGTCTCAATTAGTAAGAAGAAAGAATGCATCACCTCTCTTTTACTTCTTGAGCAAAAGCATACAATCTAATCGATGATAAATGATATGTGTATCAGTATATCTGGACATCAAAAACCTATTATCAGCAAGGATAAAAATATGAGGAGAAAACCAAAAAAATTAACACAAATGACGAGATTTCCCTCGCCAGGATTTGATCCCTGACCGCGACCGCAACGTGGTACGGTCAGATGCTCTACCCTCTGAGCTGCGAGGAATTTGTCAACGTGACAAAGGCTCAATTTAAACATATGTTTTAGGTGTTTTACGCAACGCAAAGATCAAACCCAGAAACATAGGCTCTATTCCTAAGAAGGAAAAGAAAATCCTTTGCAATGGTTTGCAATTGTCCCAATTGGTAAGAAGTAATTTTGTCCACTTCGATTTGTTGCTGTTTGTCATGATCCTTTCAAGAGGTATCTATCTCCTATTTTTCTTTGAGTACGAACGCGTAACCTCTACTTTACAAAAAAAGACAAAAGAAACATATCTTTTATCATCGATTAGATTGAATGCTTTAGCAAAAGCATTCAATCTAATCGATGATAAACGATATGTGTATCAGTATATGAGGAAATCAAAGACTTATTATCAGCGATAAAAAAATATGATGAGAAAACCGAAAAAGACACAAAATGACAAGATTCTCCGCGCCAGGATTTGATCCCTGACCACGGACTGCAACATAGTGCGATCAGTTGCTCTATCCACTGAGCTGCGAACTTGTCGACATCTTAGGCTCAATTTTAAACTCATGTATTAAGTGTCCTATGCACTAAAAAGATCAAGTCTAGAAACATATGCACTATCCCATAGGACGAAAAGAATCATCTTTGCAATGAATAAAGAGAGTAATTTTCTCAAGAAACTGTGATGCTGCGTCGGTGGCGTCGTCGTCCATTTAGATTTGCTATTCTTTTAAGAAGAACTTGTCTCCTTTTATTTACTAAGAAATTCGTGTAGGAATGTACTTCTTGAGCAAAGTAAGCAATCAGTTCGATGATACTTAATATGCGTATTTTAAAACCCATAAAGACATAAAAGACTTTTTTTTAGCAAGGAGAAAATATGATGAACAAGAGCAAGACAAAAACAAGAAAATAACGAAAACCAAACTGAAAATATTCTCCGCGTCAGGATTTGAACTCTAATGACAGACCGCAACATGGTGCGGTCAGATGCTGTGCCCTCTGAGCTGCGGGGAACTTGTCTTTAAGTAGATCCAAATTTGAAACTAATGTTCTAGGTGTCCTATTCACTGCAAAGACCAACCCTAGAAACATATGCGCTTCCATAGGACGAAGGAGAATCCACTTTGCAATGGTTGACAATTGACTATTACCTATTTTAATTTTTTTTAGAGTCTCGATGGCGCGGAGTTAATAGATAGCAGTAAAACGGCCAAGGCATCAAATTGACAAATTTTAACCATTACACTTGTCCTATACTTTGCAAATTTCCCAATTATGACATAATTATTCTTCATCGCAGACGGTAAGTGCTTTTACTGAATTGGTCACTTTTCGTCGAGGACCTGTCTGCACTCGATGGATACTAGATTCTTCCCTATTTATATAGTCAAAATCCTCGCAAGTGCCTAAAAAAATTAAAGAAAAAAAATCAGACATGGGATTCGAACCTGTGCCTCCCAGGTACTAAATTGGGAGTTAATATTAACTGAGCTACGAAGCCAAACATCGAGAGCGGGGCACATTTTAGGGAGCTCTTCTTCCCTTGAAGGAATCTGATACAGTTTGAAATGAAATGAAAGTCAAATCGCCACCGGTGGCGATTTGACTTTCAATGGTGGCGAGTTTGTTGTGGTGGCGAATTGACCGTAAACCGTGTTTGATAGTTGAGTTAATGACTTGCGTTTGATAGTTTAGTTAATGGCTCTTTGGCATTGCTTTGTGTTTGATTGTGACGTTAGTAACTGGCGCGCTTTACTTTGCGTTTGATTTTTACGTTATTGACTGGCGCGCTTTACTTTCTGTTTGATTATTACGTTTTGACTGCGCGCTTTACTTTGTGTTTGATTATGGCGTAAGTGACTTGCGCGCTTCACTTTACGTTTGACTATTACGTTAGTGATTCGAGCACTTTGTTTTATTTGATTGTTGAGTTAATGACTCGTTCCCCTTGCTATGTGCTTGGTTGATGCTTTAGTGACTTTCGCACTTTGTTTTGTGTTTGATTGTTACGTTTTTGAATAGCATGCTTTCCTTTGAGTTTGGTTGATAAGTCAGTGACTCTCGCACTTTGTTTTGACTGTTACGTTAGTTGCTCGCGTGCTTTGCTTTGTGTTTGTTTGTGACGCTAGTAACTTGTGTGCTTTGCTTTGTGTTTGATTGTTGCGTTCGTGACTCGTGCGCTGTTTGGGTTTTATTGTCACGTTTGTGACCTAAGCGCTTTTCTTTGTGTTTGTTTGATAGGATTACAGACAGCACGATTTCCTTTATGTTTGATTGTTTCTTTGGTGACTAGTGTACTTTCCTTTGTGCTTGACTGTTTCTTTGGTGACTTGTGCGCTTTCCTTTGTGTTGATAATCGTATGACTCACGCGCTTTCCTTTGTGCTTGATTGTTACGTTAGCGACTTGCGTGCGTTCCTTTGTGTTTGGCTGTTCGTTTTCATGAAGTGAACGTCACTACCGATTTTACTACAATCATCTGCATTTAACAACATTCGTAAGCAATAAAATTATTTCATAAAGTCAGTCGACTACTTTACGACAGAGAGGCTCTTGATTTAAAGAAGGTTCCGGCCCCTGATGCGCGCGCATTGATGTATAAACGCCAATTTCAAGCAGGCGGCTGGGTCTCATCGACTCTCGTAAAGTAACCAGGCCAAATTGAAGTGATTCCTGCCTTACACGGCACTTAAGGAACCGCTTTAGCTCCGTCCTTATATCCCTTTTTAAAAGTGAGTACACGACGACATTAACAGCGGAATTTGAAAATATGAGAATTCTGGAGATTTGAACAATTTCGTTGCCTACAGAACATAGGCTGAAAACTTCACAAAATCCACGATACGCTGACAAAACCCAACAAAAGACAAACAACAGGACCACTGATGCAAAAACCTTGAGATTGGATCTCTCCCGATTCCTTTGTCTCCTTCGTGTGACATAATTGATGCTGCGGTGGCGGTCCATGACATTGCCCTGCGCAGCGATTCTTCGACTGTGATATCGAGTTATCAGATACAGATGAATATGGACCAAAATCATCATAAAACACGGGATTACCTCGAAACAGACTACAATCAAGCCGCTGTACATTCTGTTTATGGTGTCTTTGGTTTCGGTCGAAGTATTCCATGACAATGATAAAAGTGACAAACTAGTGGGTGCTATCCATGCAATAAGTATAAATATCGAGACCTTCGAAGGAGTCATTTCTGACGCGTATGTCAACGGTCTTGTTATGGCAAGATATCTATCTCCTGTCATTGCACACAAATTCCCAACGGAAACGTATAAGATAAGATTATAAAATGTTAAAAGAGCATGCAGATTTAGTTGTACAAAGAACGTGTGGATGATGTAAGTTGGTATTACTAAGAGTCCAACCAGCAAATCGGAGAAAGAGAGAGAAAGTATGAACCAATTGGTTGCGACGTGCAGTGTTCTCCTCGTCGCAATGATGTATATAACCAACATGTTCCCACACACTGTTGTGATTCCGATGATGACAATCAAGATCCAGTACCAGTACGCCTCCTTGTCACGTATGGTATTCAACGATACCATCTCTTAAGGGTTATCAGCTCGGGCTATTCATCTACATCGGCTATTAAACCAAAAGGATAATTGTTATGGACTGAAGCAGAAACATTTTACAAACAAATCGTACTGGGTTAAAAGGCCGATTGTCCAGAAAGCTCATAAGATATCGTGAGGAACCAGCTCAGAACAGCAAATGATTCTCAGAGCGATTTGACAATAACTGACAACGAAAATTCTAGAGTTGATCAACCACCCAATGGAAGGAAAGCTATCCAAGCCGTTCAAATAGAGGGTGTTGGCATAACACCTTTCATTATAACCTTCTACCAATCCGTAAAGTAAACTTCAGCGTTTAGTTTCCATTTTCTTTCTTCTCTTCAGTGACAGCTGCCTTCTACTGTTTTACTACTTAGACTAACATTCATGTTACTTTAGCTCAGCTGATGCGAAGTTCATTGTCTTTTCTAAATAAGCTTTTGTTCTTTAAAAGTCTTTATGAGTCATTTGTAATTTTCTGTTCATTATTGGGTCGCTTAGATTATATGATGTTTGCCTCACAATGGAAAGAACCACATCGCAGGAGTAAGCGAAAGTCTAGGGTACGATACATTACTAAATCTTCAACGGAATATTTACGTTGATTGAATAAAAGCCTCAAATACAAATGGGAATTTCCAGTTTAAGTGCTGGAAAAACAATTTTAGATATCAGGAACTGCAAAAATTTAGTTTCGTTTACGCAGGTAGACTCCCCTCTTCCCTCCCGTTTTGTTATTATTTCTGTTTTCGATAAAAACGTAATCTCTTAGTCGAATTGTTGGTTTAGAAAATAATGAGACCGTTTGTTTACACTTTTTTCAATTGAGATCGTATAGAAAGCAAAGAGCACTAGAGCTTTTATAGACCACATATATATCTATACCTTTACTCACCTAAAATTGGAGCATTGGGAAATTTGGCTGCAGCCTTTTTTCTTTGACTGTTCAACAAATGGTCGACACGGAAATGGTCGGTAAGGAAATCACTTGTGCTTCCTATGTGTGGTCCTGTGACTTAAAATAATTCTATTTTTTTTTCCTTTATTTACACAGCTGCAGAACATGTAATGTATTCAACGACATTCCAAGTTATGAATATTATTTAATTTTGAGTGAGACCGATTTCAAAGCTTCAACACGAAGTTTTTCCGTTAATTTCGCTATTGAATTTATTTAACTTCAGTACAGTTTTTTGATTATGAAACAACGATGGTCCAATGCGCTAGATCGTTCAGATTATGCTGAAACTGGTTTTACGTTCACTAATAAACACTGCACGGAAGTATAAAAAAAAGAGTGCTTATAAAAATGGAAATAAATAAAACTGAAAATAACGAAAAATATTAACAAAAGAAACATTGAATTATAACACAGAATGAGTTGGTAAATAAAATGAAAAGGACGGATAATTTTCTGAACTTGATATTAGATTAACTGAGCGAAACGTTATTGGCAATGTCACCAGCGTGGGGCAAAAAAATCTAAATTTTCATCAAAAATCGAACGCAGATTCTAAGCTTGGCGTTCCGCCTTCGATACTCCACCACTGACCAAATAACAGACCGCTGTGTTGTGGGTTAGGCCATCATGAAGTTCACATGTGACACGCTTCTTGCATTCTGCTAAGATCAGCAATTTTTTATAATTCTTGAGAGAAAGTGGGCATGGAAACATGGAAAATTTTGAGTGCGGTAGTGGATAAAGAAAGGTGGTATGTCATTTTTTATTTTTGGCAAACAACTGACCGAATGGAAAAAACCGTTTCAAAAATTAAATCGACTTAAAATTGAAATGCAAAACTGTCTCTTTTTATTAACGACAGCGAAATGGCAAAAATATTCCTGCACTTGATAGGTTACCATGCATTTTCACCAGTAAATATCGCTAATTGTTTTTCTCGATATATCAGCCCTGCGGTAATATTCTTAAAGAATCATGAAAACGCATTTATCAATGTAGCCTTGTGAAAGTTCTACTCCTGCGGGTATAGGTGTAGTAAATGAAATTTTTATCTTTCTTAAAAAAAGGTAAATAACAACAACAATTACGGCTACTTCTGAGCTAGATAAGCGGTTTTCCTTCTTTCGTCAGCCATAAAAATTGGGCGGGGAGCAAATGAATTAGTCAGCTTAGAGAGCATCTTTTTTTTCTTTATTCTCGTTTGCATTTGCAATTTTTTTGTTTTGTTTTTTTTCTCTTTTTGTATGTGTTATTGGTTTCTTTTTCACTGGCGCTGCTATTTTGGAGTGTGTGTGTTTTGTGAGACCGAAATCTTGGTAATTTCATTATTCTCCATATTCTGTCGACATTTTGTTTCTTATAGATTAATAAAACCTGTAATGTTATGCTTATGAATAACGAATCGACAAACAGACATGGTTCGCTGACTTATTTGAAAACACTAAGTGTTCTCAGCTGCTGACTGTCTGATTTTTGCTCTTGAAGGTATCAGAACTTTAGAAAAATTTGTACAAGTAAACGTTTGTTATTAATGTTGTCGAAAAATGGGTGAAAGTAGATCAGAAGACGCCGACGCACGAATGGTAAGATGAGACAAGTAAGGGAAGCCTTTTTCGTCGCAATTTCGATAATACTTGACACAAGTGCCTTTATTCAGTTTTTGAATGTGATATTTGTCACGTTTTGTTTTTACAATCCAACTTAAATTCTCTGGAGAGTAAACATTTTGACCCAGTTAAACATACATCACGTGTAATTAAATGCTAATATATCATTTTAATAACTGAGACAGACACGCACCCGTAGTTGTTGACGTCTCTGTTGCTGCAATAAGTTGTAATCTTTTAAGTCGATGGAAAACTTGACAACAATAACTTTGCGTTTCCAACCTGATTAATCCAAACGCATCAGTTCTTGCATTTGCCAGGAGACTCAAAAGAATCGGGGCTAGATCAAGACACATCATCTGCGCATAGTACTGCTCGGAAGGAGCCCTCGATCGTATTAATGCCGGTCTTTCGGTAATCAAGGAAAGCATGTAGAATAATAATTTCGGAGAGTCTTGAAGTTAACGACAGGAAATTGCGACTGACGATATTTGGTGCGTAAGGAGGCAAAATAGGAGAGCGTGCTGAATCACCTCACTTGTTTTCTTATAGACTGAAGTCTGATAGTATCGGTTACAAGAATTCCACTAAGATTCAGGTATCACCGCTCATTTGAACGTAGCCTGTTTTTATTGTTAAAGATCTAGACCACCCATAACAACTGAAGATAGAGAGAACAGACATGGCAACGTGAGGTAGCCAGTACCATCGTCCCGATAATTGTCTCCACGTTGGATCGACTCCCTGCTAACATGTACTTTCACTGCTATAAAATTTACTAAAAACAGATGAATAACACATCCGGGATACAATCATCCGAAAGACATTATTCACTGGAGCCTAAAATAGCCTGGTATTGGTCCGCACGGCTGATAATCTCTGCTTTCGCCATTTTGGGAAACGGAGTTGTTATTTGCCTGATAGCGACAAAAAAGCGCTTGCAGATTATTTGTAACTGGTTTGTGTTATCTCTTGCTGTATCAGACTTTTGTGTGGGGCTTTTATTAACGCCGACTGGCCTAGTATGCTCGTACCTGTTTCCATGCGACTGGCGTCTTCAGTTAGCCTTCTACAACTTCCTGTTGTTTGCATCGACATTAAACTTGTGGGCAATGATGTACGACAGACATCACGCCATCGTGTATCCTCTGACATATCTGACGCAAATGACAACACGTAAAATAACAGTTATCATATCCTTACCATGGAGTACATCAGGTTTAGTGTCATTTATTCGCCTTCTGTGGTTTTATGATAATACCCTAAGAAAAGAGATAGAGTCATATTATCGGGTTTTCGTGGATTTATTCTTTGGTTTGTTTTCATGTCTTCTACTCGTGACAATCTTTGTGAGAATTTTGCTGATAGTTTTTAGGCACTCTAGGAGCGCTGAGTCTCAAGCAGCGCATTTATCGTTCAACCAAATCTTCCGTGTCGGGTACAAATACAAGCGAGAAAGGCTATCAGCTAAGATTCTTGGCGCAGTTTTATGCTTGTTTGTGGTTTGTTATAGTCTCAGCATATATATCTCTTTCTGTTTAAATTTCAAACTTTGCTCGCCCTCTCCTCAATTACGCCTTGCATCTATTCTCTTGATTCATCTAAACTGTGCTATCAACTGTTTGGTCTACGCGCTGCTTAAAAAAGATTTCCGCACAGAGCTGCGAAAATTGCTTAGATGCGACAGTGAGCTCAACATTGCAGCAAAGGTCGAAGGAGTGGGTCTGAATATTTTTAATCGCACCTCTCGGTAGTCTCAGATTAGTTGAGCGGAACCTTCGTCTGTTTCGAAATGACAATCGTATTCATCTTATTTTATAATGTTAGTATTGCGTGCAGATGGAAAATATACTAAATAAACCATGTCAAATCGTGCGAGAGAAAATAGATTTTCTTATTTATTTAGTGTCGAATGCATCGAAACTGTTAATCTGTAGTCTTAAATTCAATACGTTACTAGGTTTTTGTGGGGTCTGTTGATTTGACAGTTTTTTCTGCAAAGGAAATTGATCCATTCTTATCGGTGACCATTACTACTGAGATTGTAATTTATGTGTTTCGATGTGAGTCGGTAAATGGCTAAAATGACGGGTCTGGTTCCTAGAAATCTGCTAATGATAACCTTTTCAAAGTTAAAAAAATCCTTGTGAACCTAGTTAGTTTAGATTTTGGATACGACAGCTACGCAATTAACCAGTGGTAATTTCAGTTTCAGTCGTTTCCCGTTTTTTAATTACATATTACTGCAACCCGTCTTTCTTTCATCCAGTTCAAAGTTTTCGCACCATTGCATACAGGAAGTGTATACTTAACATGGAATTCCCCACTCAATAACGAAGTGTTCTGCTTTATATTTGAAGGCAGGACAGTCCAGCTATCGATGTATCGACAACTCGAACCTCGCGCTAACTCGAACCAAAATCGATTTCCCCTGGCTTTGAGTCATACGATTGCTGCTATTTCACTCTCGGTAACTCGAACCCTCGCTAACTCGAACCTCGTGCTAACTCGAACCAAAATCGATTTCCCATGGCTTTGAGTCATACGATTGCTGCTATTTTACCCTCGGTAACTCGAACCCTCGCCAACTCGAACCTCGTGCTAAGTCGAACCAAAATCGATTTCCCATGGCTTTGAGTCATACGATTGCTGCTATTTTACCCTCGGTAACTCGAACCCTCGATTACTCGAACCTTCCGCTGACTCGAACTAATTTTCGTTTCCCTTCAGCTCATTCTCTACTTATTTTTACCCTCGATAACTCGAACCACCAAGCACCACGTCTGTCGTCACGTGACATATCTGAACAAACAGTATACTGCAGTCCCGTTACGTTAGGATTTTTGCAATAATTTAGTGTTTCATTTTTACTAAACCTCTAATTAATTAAATTTGGCTAAATGTATTCTGTATAAATAGATGAGGCAATAAAAAGCGTTTTTCCTAACTTCTGATCCTTTATGTTCTCAACTCCCGATAACTCGAACCATTGGAGTTTGTAATATATATATATACTCCAATGGCAAGAATACCGTAATAACGCAGTCCTATCGTGAAGATTCAAAGAGGAGGAGGGTGATGTTTACTTCGAAAATAAAGGGAAAACCTAGCCGTCTTCAATTCAACGTGGTTTTCATTTCTTGGTAAATACTAAATCCCTCAACATGATAGATAGGAAGGGATTGCACGAAAGCAAAAACCAAGAATTTTTCATATCTGTCAATCATTGTTTATTATGATGGCATGATAATTTTTCGAATTCACTGGTAGTTAAAGAGGGGGCATTGGGATTTTCGGTTCTGTGGTTTTGGCTATTTTTTAGATCGGTTTTTCGGTTTTTGCGCCAAAAAACTTCGGTTTTGGTGTTCATTGCGGTTTGCGGATTTTCCGTTTTTTAGCACTTGGTTTTCGGTTCTCGCGAAAAATACTAACGGGTTTTCCCGATGCGGTTTTTGGTTTTTCCTATTTGACCTATTTGGGTTCCGGTTTCTCTTCGATCTAAGCAGCAATTACGCGCCTCCGCCGATCTCGAATAGCCGCTAAACGCAAATGTTATCGAGAGGAGTGCGTGTCAAACCAATTGAAATATCGCAAGAATCCCTAAGTAGCCTTACGTGTAACAGTACCCTCCCCCTTCCCCCATGGTGGGGGGGGGGGGGGGGGGAGGGAAAGGCGCAGCTACATGTCGGGTACGGCTACACGTCGGGTACGGCTAAGCACGGAACACTGCCAGAGTTTCTTTATCAACGCCACATGTGACTGATTGATTCAACATTCCAATAGAATCTCCAATTTTTCAGGTCTTAGTTCGCAAATGGAAATGTTAGATTAGGGATTTTCGATGAAACTTTCCAGAGCTATAACTATTTGCGACTGCAAAATTGCAATCCTATTCAGGACTTTTGTGCGAATTTCCTTAATTTAGCTTGGCCCCATTACCAGCTGCTGAGTCCGCAGAGATCATGCTCGAGGTCCTTGAGAGAACAGCTGTTACGGTTAATTTAAGCACATACTAGAAGATACGAATGCCAAGTCCATGGCATTCCAGTGTAGTTTACTCTGTATGCTCCACTTGTCACCACTGTATCGGATCGATTCAGGGTTTTAATAGCTGGGATGTGAAAATGTATCGGTTTCGACAGTTTTGCATGCGGTTTTCGGTTTTGATCGAATTTTATTCAGTTTTTCGGTTTTGTTAATTTTTTTCTACGGTTTTGCGGTTTCGCCATACCTTTAGTCCTAGTTTGATTTGAACGATCGCACCGATTAAAAACATTGAGATTCTGAATGTAGGTAGCTAGTTATAACCACTAAATAAGTCCAGTATATTGTTCGAGGACATTGTTCGAACATTTATATGTGAAAACGTGATGCATTTGAACTCTGTCTACATAAGCAAGTGATCATTTACACAAAAAACCAAAGTGGAATGAACTTTGAATTGCTATGAAATAGAACACGCGCACCAAAACAAATTAAAACAGCGTCCAGGGTCGTGAGTTGTTTTTCATGTCGTGTCATAACGTACAAAAACAAAGACTCCAGCGAATTCTGTCAACAGGAGATGAAATTAATACCTTTCGCGTGTCGAGCTGTGTAAAAAGCTCTTGTTGCCCAAGATAGGTTGGAAATATTATTCTTGCAGCAGGGTACCACGGAAGGGACATTCCTCAGCAGCAAAGTAAAGGTCCATGTAAGCATTAAACCACTGCAAGTTGGGAGACTGCAGTCATGAAGCTTTATGTAGGGTTCATAGTGTTCCTGTTGTACTGTTTTGGGTAAGTTACTCGCGTGAGAAATACATGTCACTAAGTAATGGCCGAAAAAATCTCGGCGTAGACATGAAAAAGGGTTCTTTTGCTCATGAAAATTAGGGATCTTGGTTTTGATCTCGATGCGAAGAGGTTGATGAGCCTCTCGCAAGATTTTGTAAAATCAAGGAAAGATCACTATCAAGTTTACACAGACTAATTGATTCTATTCAACTTAGTTTCGAAATTCAAGCCAAGACGTATATCCACGTATCTTTTGAAAAGCAATTATGCTCTTCTATGTAAGTCGAGGTTAATACCTCAGAACATGGTATACAGGTATATAAGGAATACAGGCTCTGCAAAGATTTAAAAAGAGACACACAAGTCAATACGCCGTGATCATTGATTTAACTTTAAATCTTTATAGATTGTGTTCGAGTCATCTTCAGCGTCTCCTACTTTGTCTCGATGAAGAGCCAATGGAATTTCATTCGAGCAAAGCGAGATCTTTGTCCGACAATAAAACATGTACGTCGTGTTAACATGATCGTTTTTCAATAGAGAGCGAGAATAATGTTGAAGCGAAGTTCCCCCTTGCCTCGGTCTGTTTCAAAATAAGAGAAATAGGTATTTGGGTATTGATAATTTGTTTAACATCGACGTTTTTTTAATATCTGTGAGTAAATTAGGACTGACTGAGATAATCAACAGTCCACTCGCATCTACTTCAAAAAAATACCTGAGATCTGAACTAAGATCCATCACATTGCTAACCAGAACAGGGAAAAAATTATGTGAGGTCCATGGACAAGATCAACTTGCAATTGACATTCAAAACAGCGTTGACACTGGTGGCCCCGGTCGTGCTGAGTTGAGGGGAATTCAATGAGCTATCAGTGGAAACCATGTCTTTAGATTCTTTTTTCTCCCCGAAGGTGAAATTCGGGGTTTTCCCGTTGATGCATATCAATCAAAATTCAAAGGAAACGTATATTATGGCGCTTGATAAAGATACGCCTAGCTATAGTTATACCCGATCAGTACAGTCCAAAGCCAATTCCTCACGAAAATCAAAACAGACGTTAAATTGCTAATTAAGTTAATGCTCTCCAAGTGAGTGGGAAGTGCTATCAATTTTTTACGCAGTGACACGAGCAGTGCTAAAAAGGCACGCCGCTCTGATTCGTGGTGTCACAAAGCACCAGGACTGTCCGTGAGTCAAAGAAAGCTTTGCTTCAGAGTGCTTGGACTCGAGACTGCAATAAAGAAAGGGATCGAGAGAGGATTATCAGAATGCGAGCGAGAATTTCAGTGGAGTAGGTGGAATTGTAGTGCGCTTGTAAATAAAAGTCTTTTGGAACGAGCACCAGGTGAGTGCGTCAGCCATGCTTTGTTTTAAATCAACATGACTTTGTTTTTCTTAACTCCAACATCTGTTATCATTGGCGTATTTACGTTTCTTTATGGTTGTAGGGAAAGTCCAAACTGACAGATGTAAAAAGGTTAAGGATCAAATGGAGTCTTAATGGCCACAGAAATGTGATTAAACATCAAAATTGCACACAAAGGGCAGTTTTAATCACCCCAGTTTCCACACTGCTTGTTATTCCTCTGTTGAGGACGTACAGAATGTGCGGAAAGTGCTATCAAAGAGTCATGTTTTATTTCAAGTTAACTTTTGTTCCATTGGCAAGGCTCCATGCTGACAAAATAACGTCGAACAGCGAGTACTTCCTGCTCTCCTGAGTTGTGGGCACGAAATCAAAATCGTCCCCGCTTGAAGCTAATTGAAAGTTTTTGGCGTATATCGAAATTAACACAACGGTACCCCGACCAGTTTAAAGGTTACCATTTAAATATTATTTAAGCCCGATCCGGAGTGATTCATAAAAAGAAGCTGTTGGTTTACTTCGGCGACCTTTGTAATTGCATTTTTTTGGCCCTATTTCTGTCAGTTTTTGTTCTGACTCTGATCTGTAATTGCATGCGCCGATAGGCCTCTTTTAGTCATCTCGCTCAGCTTCTGCAGTGAGTGTCTATCTTTGTGTCCTATCTGTTCCTGCTCTTGAGTGTTCCTTAGTTCACGTTGTTTATGAAGAAATTCGTCTTTGGTGTCCTCATCTGCAGTATTTTTCATTACGCGTCTTTACGTGTCCGCTTTTAATTTGTTATGCTAACATCAAAAACACAAAACTACTTTCATCTATACACATACGCACTAATACAAAACATGAGGGTAAACGTGCCTATTAACGTCTGGGTATGTGATATTTTTACATTCTTAGTACTCCAGGTTTTCTTCTTATTCCTGAATAAGGTGGAATTTTTTCTTATAACGTTTAATTATCTCACTTTCCAGCTGGGACAAGAGAGGCGGCGTTTACAACTGCATTGCTATCAGCGTCAATAGCCTACAGTGTAACAAAGGCCTGCACAGCGAAAAACGTCACGGAATGCCGCTGCGAGGGAATCAGACGTCCCAGGTACGGGCAGACCTGGAAACGGAAAGGTTGTAGTGCAAATGCTCACTTTGGAACTTACTCATCTGAACGTTTTATGCTGAATGACAGGAGAAATAAAAGCGCTATTGATACACTTGTCATGAAGCACAATATCAGAGTTGGACTTCAGGTGAATACAGTAGGATATTCAAGTTGTTATCCTTTTACTTCATTTGTGAGCTTTTCCATCCTTGCATTTTATGAAATAGTTTAAAGATAATTTTATGGTTAGATAGTAGGGTCCCCATCTGTCACAAACCGTACTGTCTTTAATTTTCGGCGTGAGTTTTCAGAAAATCGGTCTTGCACCTTCTTTTATAGGAAATTGACACTCCCAGGAGAGAAACACGAGTTTTCAACGATGGGGTTTTACTCCAGATATAAAATACATAGTAGGATGCGAGAGAATATAACAGTTTACAGTTTCTTGTAGGATGTAATTTTATATTTCTACTATTTCATATCAGGGTGGGGATGTGGGGGGCGTAAGAGCTTAGCTACCCCTTTCGTTTAATTGAGCAATTGTAGGGGTCACTTGGCACTGTCAGCCCCAAATGATTCGCACTTGTGCGGCAGCAAGATCAAGATTCAATTTAATGGTGTATTATACCAAAGCATGATTCTAATTACCTGTGAAACATTTTTCAGGTTCTACAAGAGAATCGAGTGGCAAAATGCACAGTGGGAAAAACTGGGAGAGTTAAGTCTTGCCATCTAACTTTACCACCACTCCACAAAATCAGCCGAATCATTAAGGGAAAGTATCACTTGGCCACAAGGGTTACTGCGCACAAACGAGGAAAGAACAATTCACCCTTTCTGCGAACCATTGAGCGGTACCGCGACAGACCAAATGGAAAGAGACCAAGGAAATCATCTCTGGTTTACATCCGTTACTCTCCCACCTACTGCTATCGGCAGAATGAATACGGCATTCCAGGCACGCGTGGCCGCCGCTGCCAATTGAACTCTCTTAAAGAAGGTGACTGCACCTTGATGTGCTGTGGTCGGGGCTACAAACGGGAGGCAAAACTTCAGAAGAGATTTTGTGACTGTAAAACGAGTGTTGATAAGCCATGCAGTTGTAAAGTATGCACAGATGTGATTATGGAAAATAAGTGCATGTAATGGGTCGCCTCTAATCTAATCTAAGGTTGAAATCAGCTCAAAAAGTAAGACAAAGATGATAGATGAAGTATTGTAGCCGCTAAGATGGTTAGTTGTACAATAACGATTTTATTCCGTTTTGTTCAATTGTATCAATAAATGCTTAGCAGAAAATGCAAATGAGCACCTACACCCATGATACCCACGCCTATCTTAGTCTCTTAGCTTTAAATTTTCTTAATGGTGAAGGTACCAACTGAAAACGAGATTGTTGATACGGAACAGGAAAAATGGTATTTTCATGGAAGAAATTAATATGAGACACAGTAAGAATAAAAGCCATGATTACATTTGTTACCAAACAACAAAATATTGAATTCGGTTGTCGCTTCGCTTTTTTATTATTCATTTGCTTGCTTATAACTGACTTTTTCCCCCCAAAAAAATTACAAGAGTTAGGAAACTCATCATACGGATCAATGACATTACATCAAGTCTCAAGAAAACTTTTGGAACGTCAGTCTGTATCAGTACTTATTTCTCATTAAATGAAGAATTAATATTAGCATGCATATCCTAAAACAATGGATAAGCGCCCACTAAACCCAAATATCTTTAATAGTTTGCTTCTCACTTCCGAGCGGCTTGTGCGGGATTTGGTTATAATTGTTGCAGAAATAAGTGAGTTAGAATTATCTTTTTGCGCTATATTATGTGACTGTTTTATTATAAGCTAAAAGAACTGCTCACCTCGGTGCCGGTGGCCAGCGATGGATATCCATGGAAAATGAACACCATTAGCCACCTCCACTTCGGATAATAGTTATTAACTATCATAGATGCTGTAAGCAATGTGGCTTGGTTTCAAAAAGATTTGACGATCGGGTCTTCATGACCATACTCAGAAAAATGACGAAATGGTTCAAAGAGCGAGTTCAATTAATTTTATTATTGGTTTAATTACCTTGCAAACGTTGAAAATTTAATATATTGACATAAATAAAATTATTTATATGTTTCACAGGAGGTTACATTTTGGATTGCCTGAGCGGAAACACGTAATTTGTTATTTATAATTATATTTATCCCTGGGCTTTGTATTTAAGATTGTGCAGTTCAAAGATCTCTAGTAATATAGCTACTTATCATAACCAACCCGAGGTAACAAGCTTGATGCTGGTTTACATAACAACTCATGAAAATAAATTACTTTTCATTCATTGCCACTGTACAACAACAAATAAAACTCAATTCCCGCTTGATGTCCTTCTTCAAAAAGGCGTAGACGAGTGGATTTATGGCAGAATTTACAAAAATCATCAAATCAGATACTCTGAAAAGACCATCACTGATAACGCACAGTTCTAACTTACTGCAAAGCGAAATCACTGTGTCAAAAGACCAACAAACAACAAAAAGGCCTATGACAGCTCCCAATACTATAACACTCGATGAATCTGCAGTCTTTCTTTTACCTTTGCTTTGCTGTGAGGTATGAGAGGCTCTCTTACCCGCATCTGCTGTCGCCTGTTGCGTGTTATCTCTGTTGTTGACTTGACTGTTGAAGTCGAGCTGAGTTTGGTGTGTTGCAACCTGCCGCGCGTGTCGCCTTGCAGTTACGAAAATTTGGATATACATGGCTGGCATGACAACGGTGGGTATCACCTCGAATGCAGTGATAACAATTAAAGCATGAACCTTTTTTCCCGTATTTTTAACTGTCTCCGAACTTGCAAGTGTCCAGAAAAGCGGAGAGAAGGAGAGATATGCTGGAATAATCCACGAAACCAAAATTGTACCAAAAAGTCGCCTTGATGTGGCATATGACTGATAACGCAGAGGATATAAAATCGATATATACCTATCCACTGTCATGGCAAATAAATTCGCTATGGATATTAAGGTGAACAGGTTAAAAAACATGAAATAAGTTGTTATATCACAGTCCGACCAGAAGTCACAGGCGATGATGAAAGTGGGAAGAAACAAGCCTACCAACAAGTCTGCAAAAGCAAGGGACACCACAAAGTAATTGGTTTCCACATGAAGTCGTCTTCTTGTAGAAATGAGATAGATCACTACCCCATTCCCAAACACTGCAACGAACCCGATAAGCGATGCGAGGATAATGTAGTAAACTGGCAGTGAACTTGAAGTGTTGTTATCTAAATGCACTTTGGGTAAAGTCAAGTTTTCCTCCATTGTAGAAGAAAAAAGTTAGGTTTCCTCCATGTGTTTACTCACCGCTTCAGATATTAATTGAACCAGCGTAATAAGTAATGAGGAAGACTACCATGTCTACTTAACAAGCAAATGAAACTGAATTAATTTACCCGAGAGACAGGCTTTTCAATTCAAAGAAAACAACTTGGTATCCTACATCAACTTGATAATTGAGACACCGTTATCACCAATAAAAAGATCACTAATAAATTAAATATTTTACGTATATTTCCTAATAGACACTGATGGTGTTCAGGAAATATATATATTTATTAACATTACCTGACAGCCGTATGAAAAATAGCCCTCTCCAACCCTTTAAATTACAATTAAGGTAAATAGAGCCTTGGTGAAGTATTGACATGGAAATTTGTACCATTTTGTCTCAAGTATGGCGGCTTTGGTTCAAATTTGAATGAAGCCTTTTTAACTGGAACACTGATTACAGCGCAGCTGTTGATATTCCATATTATAGAAACCATCAGGATAACAGAACATTGACAAATGTTCATGTCACTTGTAAACTAATGTTGTATACCTCGGTTCCCTATTTTAGCTTCAAAATCATCCATTCTAACATGTTATTCATTTTCTTTTGTTTTTTGTTTTTGTACCGTTGCAGTAGCAGCAATCAAATATAGATAAGATAAGAGGTAACACGTGAGTCGAGGAACAATATTTGCAGTATATCACTGATTTATCTATGTGGACGGAAATGTGCTTGGGATTAAAGATTGAAAGGGGACCGCTTATTGTGCTTGTAGTCGTCAAGGGACACTCTTGAAAAAAAAAAAGTATACCAAAAGAAACGAACTAATTACAACTGTACTGAACAAAGATGCACCCAAGGCAATGCTTTAACACTAGTTAACACTTTTTTAATTTTACGCAAATGAGCCATAAAATAAACAAACAAAATAATGTATGAACATGTTCCATTACTCCATGCTTTGCACCAAACAAAGATAGTTAACGTAAATATTCGCCTTTGGTTCAAATCACCTCATCGTAATTTTATCACAAACTAAAGCGATCATTTCTAACTTGAATTCAGTCCTGAAAATATGCGATAATTGGGCGTGGCAGCTGTTTTCACCTTGAATCAGACTTAATGCAGCATATGTGACGAATCTTGTTCGTTGCCATGGAAGTTATGCACCTTTAAACGTTTGGAACACGTTTTTCACTCTCTGATACAGAGTGTAAAACATTTTTGATCAGGTGAAAATGAATTTCAGCTGCACTTACCTTGCTTGTCTTATCTTTTAACCTTTTGAATTCTCTGATTACATCTCCTCTGTTCAGCAAATATGTTCAAGAGTGCAAAACGTTTTTGTCGTCAATAATAACGGCAAGCCAAATTTCAGTTTCCTTTTCTTTTGTCTCTGTTTGATTGTAGTTATGTAATTTCATTCTTCGTCATTTTTGATGGTAAAGATGGCTGGATATAGAAAACTTTTCAGTATGCTGTTTTTATTATTATTATTATTTTCGTTTTTGTAGACCAAGAAAATATATTATTCAGTAAACACTCCATAAAAGAACGAGTTCAAAAGACAGTCATCTGTGACGAACAATCTTTTTCAGTAAAAAAAAGTATCACACGCGTGTAGATTCAAGTGGTGGGTGTACTTTCAAGAAAGAGAGATTCCTTTCTATCTTCTTATCTTAGAAAAAAAAATTAAATATCATGAGATCATATACAACGCTTTAGACATACTAAATAACTGGAATTTGTGTAAAACTGCTGTTTTTATTTCTCTGCTGTCAATAAAGCTGTGTGTTCAAGGCTACAAGTGATTTGCATTGTAGATTTATGACAAAAATATTGATAAGAACTCTTTTCAGAAAACAAGCGAGAACTCAAGTGAAAGCTACAGGTACATACGGAACTTCAATGCAAAAAAAAAAAATGATAAAAGTGATATCGATATATTATTCCTAAAAGAGACAAATAGTTAAATTCGCAAAGCTTGAGAATGTGTTCATGTTACCGTCCAAAATGGTTTCAATCTTGCAAGCTACAAAAGACTAAAAGATATAAAAGAATAATGATATAAATATTAATAATTATAATGATAATTTTACACGTGATGAAAATAACAGTTACGATAATGATGACGATAAAACTACTGATAATGGTAGTGGTAGTAATGATGATAAAAATTGAGCTATTTCTGACAGCTCGTCACGGTCAGCTATTTACTTCTTTCTCTCTACTCCGTGTAGGTCTGAAGGACTGAGTGATAAAGCTAAAATGCCAGTTTTTAAACCCAGTTTTATCGTAGATAGGAAAACATGTTATGAAAAGATCTACTGAGATGGCAACCGCGTGATTTAAACTTTTCTTTTAGGCGGCTTGAGAATAAATTTTATTCTTTTGTTTTCATCACAATGGCAAATTTTACCCAATAAGGTGTCAGAAGCATCGGAGGTTGAACAAATTCAGAGTCATTCAGAATCAATTCTGTTAGCTTTTTTATTTAAATAAACCAGTGAACTCGAATTACTGACAGTCAACAAGATTTCTCCATTAAGCGCTCACTGTACAACTAACAGAGGTTCATGTTTAATTAAACTAAAATAGATGTGAGGTTAGATTGTGATATCTTGTGATTGCATCGCCGTCAACGACCTACCCAGAGTTTGGTGAGGTCGGACGTTCATGCATCTTTTTAAAACACTTTATTCAATAAATTGCCCATAAATGAGCCACTTGGCGGGTGGAGGCTTAACAAGTCAATCTGTTTAAATGCAAAAAGAAATAAGGCAGAAATGTGTCACATCTGAGCTGAAGTGCGAATAAGACAAAGAAAAAACATTAATAACGCTTCTGTCAAGCTTGAACAAACAAACGTAAATTTTATTTACAATAAACTAAAAGCTAAGCTTTCAAGTGAGAACAGTTCTTTTGGCTGAAGAAACTATAACCCTCCGGTTTATCGAGTTTTCTTGCTGAAATTCTTCCTGTAAATTTCTATCGAAGGTGAGGAAATTTACTCCTGAGCATAATCAGACGTGCTTTACATTATCTTTATTTCTCGGGAATGAGGATAAAAATAAATTTTTTTTGTTTTTGCAGGTGTTTTAACCGATGAATTAAAATTTATGTACTATTTAAAGTCTCTGAAGCCAATTAATATTTAAATTTGTGATTTTTAAAGAAAGGATATAGACTCGTGGCTTAAGGGCGTATCATATGATTGACTCTAGCACAAGGTAGCATAACGGCTGAACAAAAAAATCCGTCCTCAACACGTTGACAAACTGCTTTTTTTGAGTGAGGAATAACCTTCAAATTCTGAAGGCTGTCATGTCGTGGTACACATACAGTAGTCTGGCTGTCAGCCTCGTAGCTGTAACAGGGAATGGAGTCGTTGCTTGGTTGATCATAAGGCGATCTAGATTACACACCTTAACTAACTGGTTTATCCTCTCCTTGGTTGTGAGCGACCTAATGGTTGGCTTGAGCATAGCGCCAGCGAATATAGCGTGTAAGAGGTTAGGTACATGTGACATTTATCTCAAAGGTGCATTTGAGGAACTTTTTCTGTACGAGTCTATTTATAACCTGTGCGCCATGACAGCTGATCGCTTTATCGCAATTGCCTACCCACTCAGATATCCATATTTAATGACTTACTGTTGCACTATGACGATTATTGCGCTCTCGTGGTTTTTACCCCTGTTCAATTTCTCCCTTCATTTTTGCTGGCTCTACGCTGAGCCTGAAACAAGAAAAGCCTGGTATCGCATTTTTACTATCACAGAAACGATTTTCATGGTGGCTGTTCCATGCATTTTGCTAACTGTTGCGAATGTGAAGATAATCCGAGTAGCACAGCTACAGTCAAAAAGAGCCACGGTTCAACTGCGTCAAGTAAACTTTAATAACAAGGAAACATTCTCAAGAAATCCTCCAAGAAAGGCTGTGTTTAAATACAGAAAATGGCACTCGAGGGTGTATACGGAGTCAGAAGAAAGATCCTCATCTAATAGTAAGCACCTTTCACGGCTGGAAATGAGAAGCAAAGAAGAATTTCGCCGAAGATTTCCGAGACGAAGGCTGCTGAGATCTTCCGTTAAAGTAACCGTTGCAGTCATAACGATCTTTCTTGGGTGTTGGACTTTGTCCTTGTATGCATCATTGTGCAGTTATTTCGACTTGTGCAATCTATCGCCAGATTTGCTTGATATCTCTTGGCTGTTAATGTTGTTGAATCCTGCGATGAACCCCATCGTGTTCATCGCATTTAAGAGTGATCTAAGGGAAGAATTGAAAAGGAAAATGGCTACCTTGAAGAGCTCATACATCTTTAACAAAGAGACTCCTTGAATAACCAAGCGACTAAAGAATAAATTAATATCATAAATAATATAAAAAATGGTGACAACAAAAAAAAGTTGACGTTTGACTCAAGAGTCACATTGAATTTTAGCCATGAGTACAATAGATTGTACTATGAGTTGTGTCATTTTGTTTGGTGATCTAATGAATTATACAAACTGCAGCTTCAATGATTTATATTTCGTTAGAATGGATGCAAGGAGATGGTTTTATCAGACACAGCTTACTAGTGACGAAATTCTTTCTGGACACAATATTCAAGGACAAGGAATTTTAAAGAATAAAACACAAGGTGAAAAACAGAAACAAAATTGAAGAAAAACTTCAGTATCTGCTCAACTATCGTAGGCGCCGCTTCCTGAGAAGCTCTCCCAAATATTTGTACACTCGAGGACCTCAATGTCAGTGTAGACGATAGTTCTGTTTAAAAACCTTCGATAGTATTTACTGTTTGGGAGAATGGCTGCATTCACAGTAATTGGATAAAATCGAATTTTCATTTGCTTGACTGTCAAGGTACTCATCCACGCTCCTGACAGAGGTGAGAAAAAAATTAGTTATTACGTAACCTCCTCTAGCAACATCCGGGTGACTCAATGGGGTTTAACCATCATTCGCCAACAGCCTGAAATTTAACCGTCAAAATGGATAAATTCTTACCGTCAACCACCAAAAAAGTACTTCTATACTAACCATCAAACAGTTGAAAGGTCTTGCAGATCTCACTTTTTAAACCGATTGCTAAGAGCAGTTCTAAATATCGAAAAGTCTTAAGAATGGTAAAATATTCTCTTTTTTTTGTAATGTACTCATTGAACGGTTATTTGTAACGAGTATCGACAACATTTTGATATTTCATTAAAAATAGCTTATTTCATTTATTTATTAATTTATTTCTGACCACGCCACGCCGTGTCATTCCAGCCGTTCGACCACGTTGAGATCACGTCGAGCGTTTTAATAGCCGTCGTTATCATTTATCGTACAGTCGAAGATAGAGCTGTCGAGCGATACAATACACGAGTTTCTATCGGGAAAAAGGCCAAAAATACAAAAGTAGTTATCATCAACATGTTATTGATCCGCTCGGTTTCAACGACTTGATTACACAATCAGGCTTGAGTTAGGTTCATTGGGAAATTGCAGCACAGCAATTCAACAACAACTCGACTTAGTGCTACTAAAACTATTTACTAGAGGAGGAGACGTTGAATTAAACGGTGAGACGTGTTTTTGTACGGTGCTATTAAATTATAAGTATTAATTTATAGAACTACGAATTCAAATTTTTCATTTTACAAGCGTAGAATTCTTTAGCAAAGCGATCGCTTATGTTCGAGTTCTGTAAATTGCTCGTTGCTTTAATTTCGTTTGCGGTCGGAGGTCACAATAATCAGATCAAGGAAGTTCTGCCATTGATATTTGCGCCTCTAATACAGGGAGTAAGATATTGGTAGAAACCAATGATTAAAGGTCGTAGAGATACGCTTCACCTTACTTCGTAAGAGAACGACTGAACAGGTCTGGATACAATTAAAAAATGCAAACAAGCTCTATTTTGAATTAAATTTAGACTTGCCGTAAATGTTCCCTGATAATTTATTTTTCGAAAACTACAATAAAAAAGATAGGTCTCCGTACCAATAATGAGATATGATGGGCCAATCTTACCCTATTTATGCCTGTACTGGTGTTAATCAAGCACGTCATTTCATCGGTTCACATTACATTTTGAAGTTGCTGGGAGCAAAGGTTTTTAACATAAAAAAATCTTGATAGATAGAGAGTCTCGTGCCTATAAAACAATTTAAATGATGATTGTAAAAAAACCACGCATTTTTAAACGAAATCGAATCAAAACTTTCCTCGAGTCGTTGCTTTCAAGTTCATTAGAACGATTTAGCAAGAGGACGGGAACGTCATTTCAGAACGGGAAAGCGCGCGGATAGTCTGGACACAACTCTATTTCGACTTCAGGTGTTAGCGTTGCCTTTCTCCCCTACAAGTTCAGGACATTTTATCATGAATCAATTCATTAATAAATTTAACTTGCTTCATGTTGAAGTTTATCAAAATGAAATATCACGACGCTCACCTACTGTATTATTCAGTGTCATTTGTTGTTATTGTCGTTTTTACCGTGATTGAAAACTTTTCTGCGAATTGAAGTCAGAGATGAAAAAAAATTGAGAATAGCTCAGGTATGCACTTTTTAATGTTTGAAATTTTTGATCAGCGCCGATGAAATAAAATGACAATCAACTTGATTTCGGCACGGCTTTCTAAATCTATTAATTTAATTCAGTCTTGAACGACTTCACTCGTTTAAAAAATTAAATCAAACAAAAACGAAAAAAAAATAAAACTGGAACGAAGTCTTACTCCTAAGTCTAACCGTTTCGTTTATGACTAGTTTGAGTTAATTTCATTCTTTCACATAGGAACTCATCGTAAACAACTCCATCGTTGGGTCGCCTGATTTCTACATGATTTCGCCATAATTCCGTTCAAAATGCTTTTCAACTCGAAGAATGTGGTGCTCAAAAGTTATGAAGAAAAACGAGTAGTGCTGAAATCTAGTAGCACAAATGAAATGACAGCGACACAAATCATCGAAAAAAAACTATTTAGTGGGCTTCAAAATTTAATAGATGAATCAGCAGACTCGGGACTAAACTGAAATGGACTAGTTTAAAAGTTTAATCGCCCATGTGGATTCATAGTTAACAACTTACTTGCCGTATCTATAACTATCCTCTGTTTGCGCTCGTTATATAACTCTCAAAGAAGATAATTTCGTTGTCCTTAGATTGGTCTATAAAACCGAAAATTCAAAGGTGATGGTGATCTTTAAAAAGCCGAGGCGATGATTCTCGTTGCAACGACTGCTAAGTCACTTTTCAACACAACACGACGGCGCCGTTCTGAAATGACGTTCCCGTCCTCTATTATTTGCATCCACAAGTATTGAGCTTCGTGCACGCTTTTAGCTATTTTTTCCCCTTCGATGATTGTTTTAAATTTCTCTAAATTAAAGGGGGATAATAAGTACACCAAAATAATGCACACAAAAAATATAAGTCACCGTGCTCGTTCAAGAACTCAAGATCATCGTACCTCTTAACCTAGTCCATTAAAAAACGATACCGTGGTCTCTGAATGCGCGCGCGCTTATTCGCCTGATTATGTGATTTTTTGCGCAGTTCAGGATGTGCAGTGCAGTATTTAGGAATCACCTTAAGCTGCAGAGTTTTCCTGGGAAGTATTGGATTTGCCTTATCAAGCTCCACAAGGCTTTTCGCTTTTTGATTTTCGGCAACGTTATTGCAGTGAATATAATATTTTCAAATTATATAAGGCAATTTTCGTCCTTTTATACCAAAGCGAAGTTTAAATTGATTAAATTCACTGAGTGAGATGCGGTTTAATGCGAGCTGCAGCCAACAGTTTATATAAGCCTGAGATAAAGTGTAAAGCTACCTACTCACAAACAATTAGTGACTCGTTACTTGCCAAACGTCTGCAGGAGAACTTAAGAAGTTGCAAGTTAAAGACAGCTTTCTTGTCTCCTCATCCTCATATTGCCATTTATTACTCGATCAATTTTTAATCTTTCGTGTTTGGCTCGGGGAGTTAAAAGCAATCAGGAAAATTAATTCAGAAATGCCTAATTTCGGTAAAACTGAGGAACAATTTTAGATACAATTTTACAGTGTTGTATTGAAAGGATCACATCGACACCTTCCAAGAATTTGCTTTAATTGAATTTGAATATGATATGTCAATTTGAATTTTGATGTGTTATTTCATATAAAAAATTCATTTTAGGTATTAACAACAAATCCTCTCTGTGTAGGTGAAGTGACTGAAACAACTTCCTATCAACAGAACTGAGTGGAAGCAACTGATGTTTGATATATCCTGCTTCTATTTTCGGCCTCGGCCTCGGCATCACAAAACTGATATTGACAAGGTGAGTCAGAACTGAGTATGTATTGACAACTTCGCAAGGTGGTTTAAATATTTTGAATAGAGTTTGACTTTCACCTGGCATGCTTAACTAAGATAAATAGTTAATCTCCCTAGAATTCTGGCTTGTGGTGTGTTTGATATAAATGAAACAAAAAACAACAAAAACTGAGATGTCTTCACTGACTGAAGATCGCTAACATTAAGGAATGGTACTGGTTTTTTACTGAGTTAACTGAGTTGTAGGTTAGTGGCTCGATTTACGTTGTATATCGCCATATGTAATCGAAACTGAATTATTAAAATTTAAACAAAACAACACAGAAACAAACTGAACATAAGCTTCTAAGCCACGATCACGAAAGTCCAAGATGAGAACTCGTATATGCATACAAAATTATTTCCAGTAACCTTGTATTAATTAAGCCGCTGGCTGAATAGATGCGATTATCAATTCCATGCTTTTTTTCCCTTCAAACAATGAAGATAAACGTTGGTGATGAAAATTCATCAAGAGTCCTGCGAGGTGTCTGATCGATAGTGAAGGCCAATGGAACACTTACACAATTTTCAGCAAAATTTTTACCATATGGTAATTTTAGATAGTGGTTCATTTACTTAATTTGAAAATTTCTGAGTATATCCCATACATAACAGGCATGGGAAAGATTGCTTTCAACTCAGTGTACTGTACACAATGCTATTGAAATACCTGATTGGTTCCATTTTAGTATTTCAAGTTTTTTTTTTCAAATTTTATGTGTATCAGATTCTTCCCTCAATAAATAAATGAAGAATAATCCTACATTCTTTTTTATTCGTATTAACGATGAAATTAATAGTATCTATTCATTTTGTTGTGTTTCGTAGGAGATAAAGACTATCAAAAAAAATTGCATCCATGTCAGCAACCAACACTATTGAGGGAAAGGGAGCCTTTTGGTACTGGATCCTAGTCTCTGTAATGGCCTTTGCAATAATATGTGGAAATTCCCTGGTCATATTTTTGATCGTTACACGCGCAAGACTTCATGTGACGCCAAATTGGTTCGTGTTGTCGTTATCGATAGCTGATCTCTCTGTAGGACTGATTGTGGCACCATCATACATCGCTTACACGTTCTGGATTGATGCCAATTTCGAAGTGCTCGTTATGTTCTACAACTTGCTTTTTTATGCTTCAGTCGGGAACCTCTGCGTCATGACTTTTGATCGTTACATTGCTATCACAAGACCTCTTCGGTATCCGTCTGTAATGACAACTTCAATAGCACTGCGACTGATTGCCCTGGCGTGGGTTCTGCCCATGATGATAACGCTGATGCCTCTATGTTGGAAGGATCTCAAATGGAGTTCGCCAGCTGCGCAAGATGCACCCAACAGCACGTTTGATGGAGCAGAGCGGGCCAATCAAATATACTCAGGGATAGTCCTGGTTTTATTTGAAATTCTCCCTTGCATTGTCATGCTTTTGACTTTTACTCATCTATATTTCGTTGTTAGAAACCAAAGTCGCCGAATAAAGGCTTTAGAAATAGCCATTCGCTTTAATTTGGACATCAGAACCCAGCGGAAGAGGAAGATTGAAAGATCAACTGTCAACGCGTTTTTCGCTGTAATAATTATGTTTGAGATATGTTGGGTGTTGTCGGCTTACAGGGCATTTTGCAGTTATTACAACGTCTGTGCAATTTCGCTACTTTTTGTCCAAACATCAAGGTTATTTCTCTTTTTCAATTCTGTTGTGAATTTCTTTGTATACGCCTTGCTGAAGAGTGATATTCGAGATGAGATAAAGCAGTTGATCAGATTTTGATCAAAGGTTTCAGTAGGAACAGTTACTATATAAAAGGAAAAGCAAAGAACACTTTTATCAAAGAAACCAAGTGTTTTCATCATGCGCCAGCGTGCGAAAAAGATGTTATCTAGCCTCTTGCACGAAATGTTTTAATTATCGTGAAATCATTTGGAGGCGGCGGTTGATTGCACCTACTTACGCCCAAAAGAAATTGGGCGGAGCTTGATCCAACAAACTTATACAGGTTCATTATTAATTTGATGATTGTAAAGCAGTATGTGCATATCGGTTTTGTTCGTACGTGACGGGGCTTTATTAGCTATGTATCTATTAGTTCTTCCATTGTCACCTTAGTTCACTCCTAGCTCATTCTAGCTCATTAAACCCAGTTATTTCAGCATGAAGGTTGAAACATTTCTGTAAATTGAAAAACTTTTTGATCACTGACTTTAAGACAAGCAATCTTGAAGGAGAAAAAAAAATTGATTCCACACGTGAGTGCATTGTAAAATCTCTCCCATTATAAATGGGGTAATTAGCAAAACATGAAACAGCAAAAAACATTCATAGAAGTTTATTGCCGATTTTAATGTAAAAGCTATAACGAGTAAAATGTCAAGGACTCAAAGAAAGATTGACATACCAAATCCGTCTGTATTTTTTCCTAAAAAATTGTTTCCGATTGATCACGTTCAGCAGCTTAAACGCCCTTTTCTTGTCATAGAGAGTAGTCTTTGTACCGATAATAAAAAAAACAACAACAACAGCAACAAACAAAAAACAAAAACAAAAAACGAAAAAAAATTATATTTGTCTTCTTGCCAAGCAAAAAAAAAAATTCGCTCCATTCAGTCTGTTCAACGTAATTTGTTTAGCGAAGTTATCTCCCAAGTGACAGGCTGTCTCCTTTCATCATTGAGGGTGAAAAGAATTCGTTCAAGGTAACCGGAAAGTTTCGTGGGCTCCTCTTTCAAATGAAAAGAATCATATTAAGATATTCAAAAAGAATATGTGCGCATCTCACAATCTTGCTGCTTGCAACAAGAAGACTTAAGTTTGTGAGTATGCCTCAAAGCAATTTGCCTAGCCAAAAGCAAAAAAAGAGAATAAGAAAAAAAAAATTTGTTTCTGTGTCAATGCGTTTGACGTCTTGATTTTAAACACCAGGCGAATGACACGTTTTTGCTCCGTGACTGGCTTAGCTTATCCTACTATTTCCGTTAGCATATGTATGCATATCGAGCACTGTCGTAGACCTCGCTTTGCAAACATCGGCTGAAAGACGAAATTATTGCTTTCTTCTGTGGCCTTTTCTTTGAACTCGATTAATCCACTTTACTGTTTTTCATCATTTACGGTGCTGTCATACTCTTATTAGGAACATTTTAGCACGATAAAGCTTGTCAGCTTTGGTAGTTAATAACTGGAAATGAGCATCAAGTGAACATTAGACAAAAGAAATGGGAAATTTAGCTGTTTTTGATTTATTAACGTGGATGCTTTTTCCCTTTATAACTTATATTTGTTATTGAGCAATCTGAGTTCAAAGCGGCAAAGACGTATACAAAAGTAAACTTCAAAACTAAAATTACCTTATTTGCATGTTCTTCAGAAAATGTTGCGAGGGAAACAGCTGCTCTTACTTCCGAGGCAATCTAAAGTTTGGAGATAAAAATTACATGCGTCAACAATTAATGCTAAAGACTGTCTGCCGAACCAATGAAAAGATTGAAGCGCTATCTATAAGATCTTAATGTATAACTTTTGCGTGGTGGTGTTGATATAAAAATACACAGCCACGAGTCGTTAGGCATTAAAGTTCGCGTACTGTGCATCATAAGTGTACAGGTTATCACGGGCTTGTTAGATACCAGCACGCAGAGGCTTCTCTTGATCTTAAAACGTCTGGCGACGAAAAACCGATCCAACTTTTTTCGGTTGTAAGAATTAAACTGAAGTGGTCACAAATTTTTAGTTTTATGGATACAAGGAACGAATCTGTTAATGCAACGCAGACTTCACCCGCTAAAGGCTTAAAGAAAGATGAAGTTTGGTTTTGGATTATCTTGGGTTCTACTGGAGTGGTTGCCATCCTTGGTAATTCTATAGTCATATTCTTGATTACAACTCGTAGAAGGCTGCAAACAACCTCCAATAGCTTCATTCTGTCGCTCTCTTGTTCTGATTTGTTAATATCCATCACGACAATACCGGGAGCTTTCATTTGTGATCGTTTTGGAGTACAGTGCTCTCTCGTATTCTGGAACTTCTGCAATTACTTTCTTTGTGCCTCGGTAGTGAATGTTTGCGCGATGGCAGGAGATAGATTTTGTCGAGTGGTTTTTCCTTTGCGCTATCCCGTCTTAATGTCTCCTAAACGAGTGACATTAACCATTTGTATAGGATGGACGCTGCCCATATTTCTTTACCTCATACCATCGCTTTGCATTACACTGATCTCAACTACCGAAGCCAAAGACGCCGAAAGGATTTTCAGAGTTATACAAATATTTACGTTCGCCGTTTTACCTTGTGCTGGGCTTTTACTTGCCTTCGCCAAAATATCACGCATTACCCTAAAGCATTCAAAACGTCATCGAGTTCAAGTGGAGCAAATCACTAGCAACTCGGCAATTCCCCAGCGAAATGTTAGACAAAGCAATCGAAAGTCTTATTCCGTTCTGGTTCTCGGCGCAGTAATTTTCTTCTTCGTGTTATGCTGGTCTTTCACTATCTACAGAGGCCTTTGCAACAGCTTCTCCTTGTGCCATGTACCGCTCACAATGGTGTACGCTTCAAGGATTTTTTTGGTGGGCAATACCGCAGCTGATCCAATGGTATATGCTATTCTTAAACAAGATATCAGAAGGGAGCTCAATCTCACGTTTGCCTTCATTAAAGGGAACAATTTGCAAGTGCAAGAACTGAGGACGGAAACCCGATTTGCTGGACAGTCGTTGTATTACTAATCAACCAAGCAGTAATACAGTTATGTGGACCATACAGTCGGGGTGTTACCCAAATAGATCCTATAGTTTACCAAGGTTATTCTTCTCTGCTCCCTCTTGATTTCTGTGGTGTGCTTCTTTTCATATAAAGTCTGTATCTACGAAGCATTGGAACCGGAAAATCAAAGAACAGAGAGACAAAAAGCGCTCAACTTCGAATAGCAACAAGCGGACGAGGGTTTGAAACAGTAGAAATAGCATTTCATGAAGAATAACCTGAAATGGCAAAAGACGCTTCATAATATTTATGCTTTTCACGTGGCGTTCCGTTATAAAAGTGATTCATGCGTGTCAATAGTGCTGAAACTTGGTAGAATTGCGTTAAGGAAATATCTGACAATTTGAGACAAACACAAAAATAAGGAAAATTAGACCATAAGTTTGCAATTATATTTAATTCGAAATATTAGGAACAATGATTTTGCGGAATGTCTGGTAAGGAGAGATAAAAAAAAACCATTATCATTACTTTTAGTCAACATTTTTGAAGAAACTTTTGAGGTTTTTCTCTTGCAAACTTTCCTTTGAAGTATAAATATATCACCTATCAAGGCAAGTTTCCAGAGGGTTTTTGATTAGGAAGCTGTTCAAAATCGATGGTCGAGCAAAAGTGAATCCAAGCTTTTTTTCAAGGAAAGCTAAATTTTTTTTTCAAATTTATTTGTAAACGTTTTGATTTGTGAAGTGTTTGTTATTTCACAATATTTTCCTTACAAACACTTTGCAGATTTTGACAACGAGCTTGCTCAAATTGTACTTTTCTGTTGAATTAGTATTGACATAGCTTCCTGGGGCGTATTCTAAATAAGAATGACCATTAATTGTCATGGCATCTAAATTTCTATCTCAGTGCGCTGCACATCATGTTATGGAAGGAAATGGATCTTGAAACTTAAAGTGCCTGACTTTCACTCTTCCTTCTGAGGGCAGTAAACTTTCGAGAATATGTACCTTGGTTCCTTAAGATACATCATATGATTTATCTATTGTATTGAAAAAATATTTATTGCTGTTTTCTATACAAAACTGGAATTAGTGCCATCACAATGTCTCAAAGACGTTTATTGTGTGGTGTGCATTTTGTGTTTTATTCTATTTGAAATACATTTTAAGTTATACCGCCCACACGTGTGAATTCTTTTATGCACTTTAGCCGAGTTCCATTTGTCGTACTGACGATTCGATTTTAAAAATTTATTAAGAATTTTTTTCCACTCTTATTCTTTCGCATTAGTTTAAAGTTTCACTTTAAAAACCCAAGCTTCCAGCTATCACAAAACGTACGTGGAACCAATGAAATAACGCGCGTGGTTATAACCAGTACTGTCATAGATGGGGTAAGACTGGCCCATCATATCTCTTAAACTAGCACGATGGCCTATCTTTTTATTGCGATTTGGTAGGGATCATTTATGGAAATTTTTAAAAAATAGTTTAATACCTTTTTTTTTCTGTGGAATCACCTTAAATATGTTCCTCAAGTACACCAATTCTACCAAACCTTGTTAAACGAACATATTTCTCTGAAAGCACTCATCTTAAAGCTGCTGAGGCAGTGAAAAGTCTTTAGGGGATTATAGGAACATAGTGCCACAGTAAAATAGAGAGGGAAACATTATTTTAATTCTTAAAAAACATAGTCACTTGAAAATGATGAAAACGAAGACGAAAACGCAAGACACGAACCATAATAGCAAGTTTATTGGTTAGGACACCGCGTAAGTCTTCGTATCTCAGTTCGAATGTCTCTTTTCATCAGTTGACAGCAGAGTTTGTGCAGATGAAAAGCAAGGAAACTCGGTCTAAGACATGTTTTTTGACGAAACACTCCAGATAATACCTGCATATTGACTTATAGATATCAAACTTCCAGCATATCACAAACAGGATAACCACATCCCCAACAACTCGTACAGATCTCTCCTGAAGTCGTCTTCTTGAACTTGGTATGAGATTGGCATTAGAAGCTTTGTTGAAATTCAGTTGAGCGAGCTATATCGCTGTTTTTCTACTGAGTGCTCGGGTCGTGAAAGGTATTTTTAGGTACATTTATTATAAAATTGCAGGTGGTAGAAATTCGAAAAGTATCAACATAGCGCGGTACAGGTCTTCTTCACTTGGTTTTTGTCTTCGTCAGAGATGTGGTTACGCCAGGTGAACGGTAGAAAGGCAAGTGTTGCGGGAAACACCCAGGCACTTATTATTAGAAGGAGACCTCGCTTTGCGGTCATGAACATGCGGTATTTCAGGGCATGCACGAGCGCTAAGTATCTGTCGAAAGTCATCAAGCAGGTTTTGGCGACATAAATGGCTAATATAGAGTTAAATTCCGTAAAAAAAATACAACAGTATTTTAAGAAATTCCTTCCTTCTGGCAGATGAATGAACAAGATGGAAGCAGTTGTCCAACACACAAGTCTACCGTATATAGGGATAGGACGAACCAG